AGAGACCAGCGTATTTATAAGTTCTATGTTTATTTGAAAGAGCTCATGAAAAGAAATCGAGCCGTCAGTCTGATTTAATGTTATGATCGTAAGATTTTTTTTTAAATTTAAATAAAATTTTAGATTTAACAAATGATAATAAATATAAATTTTAACAATAGAAAGATGTTAAACTATAAAAATTACTATCAGGCTTCGTGTGCATGAAGAAATGGCATGGAGTCATACCGGCGCCGCACAGCAAGTTAGTATGTACAAGCAATAATCACGTATGTATAATCATTAATCAGTAATCACGGCACCGCGACCGTACCGTGAACTTATCGCATCCGCGTTCACACCCCACCGCTTCCGCGTAGGCGCCGCACCGCCGCCGAATCACCATATTATATAACGCTAAACATAATCTAACGTTAATATCAAACTAATTCTTAAATACATCTTATATAATCTATTAAATTAATCTTAGTTTATATTTTTACGGGTGAATCGTTTTTTATTTTGTTTAACAACTTTGCAGTTCCGGTGTAAAAATATATATAACCCCATATCGTCCCGTGCATGTCGTAAGTGATTATGGTAACCATGGAAAAAATGAGGCAATCTATGGGGAGGCCTATGGTCATTAGTAGACTTTTGATACCTAGTATGTAACAGTAACGGAATCGTTTGTGACGTCATGTACCACTACCCCATATCAACCCGTGGATATTATAAGAGACTACAGAGGGAAACAAATCAGGAGATGGGCAGCAGCATCTTACTAATAGCGACTGAAATAAAAAACGACGGTTGCCAACCCGCTTGCTAAGCGTGGCCACTATTGCAAATATTTATATATGAGGCAATCTATGGGGCAGGGTTATGTTCAGCAGTGGACTTTAATAGGCTCTGACGGTAACTTATGAGCCGTGAACCCTATAGAGCTCAAAACCGTCAAGTTTCCGAATTTCTAGTTTTCTGCTTATATATTTATATTATATATTCTAGTTCTATACTGAGTTATGATCGCCGCTTTGTTATACAATGCATAAAATCTCGACGAGGCGACGGTGCGGCTTCAACACGGCTCCGCTGCGGACTACGGTTAATATATAAACATTGCGGTTTGATTCAGATGTTTCTGCGCCTGAAAACCGTTTCGCCTAATAAAAGCCTAACAGGACAAGATTTGCGTTAAATGCCGCGTTTGGCCGGCGGATTGGCAAACGCAGTACCAGACTGACTGCTCGCGGCCTTGAAACTGATCCCCGTTGAAGCATGTGCAATATATCCATTATATTTCACATTTATGCCAGATGTTATCTATAACCCACACAAGATGTTAAACCAACATCTATTTAACACTTTCACTGTCCGGTTTCCAGACACAATAGTAAGACAATAGCAGTGCCCTATATGTAGTGCACGGGACAGCGAAAGGGTTAAGACTATAAGGTCGTAACTACTGTCCTTTATTATTGTCATCTTACGACACCCATGGGATGATACTGGCTAATTTCCTTACGCCATGGCCAACTTTCCAACTAGCTAGCACTATAGCGTTTATTTGTTGATCTTAAGAAACAAATTAAAAATTTTAACAACTGCGTAACAACGTTCTATATATTCCACCATTTATTGGCATACACATATTTAAATAGAACAAAATGTCCGAATAATTGCAATGTCAAACTATTACTAGAAGGTTAATGTCATCAAATCACAATTGTATAATTGGAGTAGATGTCAAAAGAAAAGAAACATTTGTAAATAAACATAAAATTTTTCATAAATATAATATTTTTCTTGTATTTTTATTGAGTAGTAAACTTTGTCCAAGTAATAGGGCTCTAAACTTTATTGTAAAAGTTGACGATGAGAAATATTGGAAGAATCTATTAACCTTCGTTTATCATTAATTTCTTGATTGCGTGTAACCCGAGTTAAGCAAAGTACCTTTTTTTTTCTTTAAATGTGGTAAGGCAACCTATGCGCCTGAGGAATTTGTCCGCCAAGACGAAATGGGATAACGCGGCTAACTCTTTCTAGTTCCAAAATCCGCTCGGAGAGAGAAGTGAGAAGATCACTGTGACAGTTGGAACGAACATAGGCTGTTCTGCGAGTGAAACATTCGATGAAAAACTGGCCAAGTGCGTGTCGGGCCGCGCACAACGTGGGCTTTCTTGATAATGAGCATAAGTGAGTTCACGTTTTGACCACTATAACCATCCAATCCAATCACTTATAAAAACTAGATACACAATCCCATGCAAAAATTCTCTAAAAACTGTCGCCAATTGTTTTGACGTAATTCTAGTTGAAATAAATATACATTAATGTAAATTCAACCTTAAATGCATTGCCTAAAGTTGTATTCACAAAGCTACGTACAAATTAAAAGTCGGGATCAAATCCAGTCAGAACACGCTCAACCATAGCCTCTCTGGCTATGGTTGAGCGTGTTAGTCTCACGATACAGGCAGTCTCCGAATGGGGCGATACCAATGTCGTGAGATTTAACGCCTGCAAAACACAAGCGTGTCTGTTTACCGCTTAAAGGAGCCCGTTCACCTTGGCTCCTACGTTCCGGAATGTATCTTTGGAGTACACTGACCGCCTTCAGTTGTTAGGAATTGAATTTTCTCCGAACCTAAACTATGGGCGGTTCATTGAGTCCAGAGCCAAAGCAGCCGTAAGGAAACTTGGTGTCCTTGCAAGGGTGCGGCGGTACTTCACGCCGGGGCAGCTGCTTACCTTATATAAAGCGCAAGTCCGGTCGTGCAAGGAGTACTGCTGTCACATATGGGCTGGTGCTGCAAAATGCCACCTGGAAGCATTAGACTCAGTGGAGAAACGTGCTAAGAGGCTCATTGGTGACCTTGATTTGGTTGAAACCAATCTTGTCAGCCTCGAGCACAGGCGCAGAGTAGCCAGTCTCTCGGTATTCTATAGGATGCATTTCGGTGAGTGTGCCCATGAATTACACGCTTTAATTCCTCCCTCTCCTTTCCACCATCGGACAACCAGGCGGTCGGCGGGTCTTCATCCCTTTGTTGTCGATATTCCACGCATTAGAACCAAACGGTTTGCTTCGTCTTTTGTAATGCGTACAGCAAAGGAGTGGGATAATTTGCCGGCATCTATCTTTCCGTCCGAATTTAATCTGGGCGTCTTCAAGGCAATTGTGAATAGGCTTTTGTTACGATAAAACAGTGCGATTTACCATCTAAGGCTGCATCACTACTTACCACCAGGTGGGATTGTGGTCAAGCACTGGCTTGTAATAAGTAAAAAAAGAACACATAGACGTATATACTTAAATACACACAATATATACATATATAAATAAATACATACACATATACATGCATATACTACATATATATACAATACATATAAATATTATCTATGTCAGAATAAATATGAAATATACATATTATGTGTATAAAAATAAGAACTGTGTTAGTTCAAACTTGCACCGACTTTTTCACATGCTTACGGACTTGATTTTTAAAAACAAACTTGTTGGAATTTTTTTTAATGTCAAGAGGGATTTCATTTCATAGTCTGATGGCCGTGAGGGCGAAAGAGTGAGATAAATATCCAGTACGGTGTAAAGGAGTAAACAACTTAAGATTAGCCGAAGAACGGAGAAAACGATTATGAGAATCTCCCAGGTATTAAAATTTGGATTTCAGAGACTCGGGAGCAGACATGGATCGTTCAAAATTGTGAAAAGAGTGCAGAGTATTCTGACATATCTGCGCTGACGGATAGGCAACCAATTTAGCTGAGCACGAAAAGAAGATACATGGTCGTATTTACGGAGACCATAAATGTATCTGATACAGTTGTTAAGTAGATGATCCAATGTATTAAGATGATGTTGAGGCAGGTCTGAGCAACACACATCAACATAATAATCGGTAGTTCGATGATTCTTTTTTTATTTGAAAGCTGGAGCTTCTCATGTGATCCCATATAAATTTTATCAAGACCTGACCAATAGCTTTTGAGTTATTCTTTATAATTTATGTCGGTTGTACAAAATTTTTAATTTTAAATTATTGAGCGTACTAAGGTATATCATAAGTTGAAGGTAACAACTAGAATGACATTTATTTACACTAAAAATTATTTTACTCACCTTTAGGGATGACTTTATGTAACTTAGGACTAATCAAAAATTTTACAATATTCGAAATAATCGCAAAGCGATCTTTGGTGATCAAACTTTTCAATAAATAACAGAAGCTAAATAAAAAAAACATTGAAATTTTTATTACATCGAAACGGTTAGTAGCCTATAAAATGAAGTGCGTGAGAGATGAGTGTTTAGGAAACTTGCACTACAGAAACGGCTACAAGGTGAACGGTATCTTTGGAACATTCTTATCTACTATATATTTTCTATAAAAATATTATCTTTTAAACAAGAAATGAGATATTTCAAAATGTATATAGTTTGGGTCAGGTTTTTGTACACTAAATTAAAAATAGCCAATCACATACGGAACAGTTTCTTATTATCTACATATGGATCCGGCGGGGCGTGCGGTGTGGCGTCATGAGAAACATACCCTATTGTATTAGTGTAGAGAGCGGTGAAGAGAAGTACGGATGGCAGCCTCGTATCAGTCAGCGTAATGTAGGGCGACCTCCCGCTAGATAGAACGACAACCTCCTGCGAGTTTAGGCAAGGTGTCTTTCTACAGTCGTTAAAATTATTAGCAAGATAATAATTTAAAATTAACTTCAATATAAATTATTAAGAATAACTCAAAAACTATTGGTCAGGCCTTGATCAAATTTATATGGGACCACATGGGAAGCACCAGCTTTCAAATAAAAAAAGAATCATCAAAATCGGTTCACCCAGTAAGAAGTTGAGGTAACACACAAAAAACACATACAGTCGAATTGAGTACCGGCTACTTTTTGAAGTGGGTAGATACGTGGGCGGGATGATAAGTAATTAGCCTTATAAGAAAACTTAACTTTCCGTGATAAAATTAATTTTATTTTTCGACATAGTATCCGTGAACCTCTACGCATTTATTCCATCTTCGTTCTAAAGCAGTAATGCCTTCCATGAAATGATTTCTTTCGAGGCCTGCAAAATAGTCCTCTACAGCGGCTATGACTTCATCATTTGTGACAAATTTCTGTCCGTCCAAAAAAATTTTGAGCTTAAGGAATAAATGGAAGTCTGATGGCGCTAGATCAGGCGAATAAGGTGGGTGGGGCAGCAAATCATACTTCAATTCTTTGATTTTTGACATAGCTTTAACACATGTGTGAACCCTAGCGTTGTTTTGGTGGAAGATGATTTTTTTTCGCCAAACCTGGTCGTTTTTGCTGAATACATTGACGAAGCTTATCTAGAAGATTATCTTAGTATTCTCTATTAATTTTTTGACCTTTAGCAAGGTAATCTATCATCAAGATCCCATTTGAATCCTAAAAGACGGAAGCCGTCACTTTTCCAGCCGACTTTACAGCCATGCCTTTTTTTGAGCCGGGCATCCCGATTGAGTCCACTGTTGTGATTGAATTTTTGATTCTGGCGTGTAATGATCAACCCATGTTTCATCTTTTGTTACAAAACGACGTAAAAAATCGGCCTTTTTACTCTGAAAACGGTCCAGACATTCTTTTAAGTTTTGCACCCGAATCCTTTTTTGATCGTGCGTAAGCAATCGCGGCACCCAACGGACCGATAACTTTTTCATATTTAATTCTTCACTTAGGATATGATGTACCCGTTCTTTTGAGATACCTGTAGTGTCAGCTATTTCAGATAACTTCAATCGTCGATTTGCTAAAACCGTATCATGTACTTTCACGATCATTTCCGGAGTCGTGACGCTTTTTGGACCGGCGGGCTTCGCCTTGGACACATGTACGACCGCGTTTAAACTCAGCCACCCAGTTTTTTGCTGTGGCATAAGAAGGAGCACATTCACCCAAAACATTCTTTAACTCGTCATAGATATCTTTCCCCTTCATGCCCTTCATATGAAGAAACTTTATCACCGCTCTTTGTTCAATTTTATCCATTTTGAAAACAGTTGACGAAATATATTTTCAAATGACAAAAAATCAATAAAATTTTCACGTCACCAAATTCAAATTTAGAACACAGGTGGCCAGAGATACGAATTTAAAAATTACATTAATATTTTTTTAATTTTAACTTTTTAAATAGCAGTGGCTAGTTACTTATCATCCCGCCTACGTAAAAAAATAATGAAATTAACGTGATGTGAATTATAATTGAGATAATGTCTCCCATTCCGCTTTATAGTTTTCTATATCATCGATTGTTGGTACCTACTGCCTACAATCGTTGTATTTGAATTTTTAGTCATTTATATTATTACGTTATATTTGATGTGTTTTAACCCCTGACACAGAATAAATAATAGTACCACGTACTCGTAGTGCCCCCGATGAAAACAGAGAGGAGTTATAATATATCTGCGTGTCTGTCTGTGCCATCATAACTCTTGAACGATGAGCCGATTTTGATTAAGTTTTTTTCGTTTGAAAGGTGCCTTAATTGAGAGTTTTCTTAGCAATGTTTCAAAAGAATCTGTTCTTCCGTTTGAAGATCATCAGCTCTTTTTGTTTCGGGGGATTTTAAATATAAGTTATGATGCTAGTATTTGGTATTGTAATTATAACGCTAAATTAATTAATCCCTGAATATATAATGACTACACACTCAAGTTTTAATTGCCGTAGGGACAAGAGTGTTGACCGTAGCAGTTTTTAAAATTTCAACATTCTGTGATAAGTTACCATGGTCGGGTAACCGGGCGCTTATTTACCTAAAGCTTGCATTTTTTTAATATTAACGAAAGATTATTATGGACATGCCTTTTTGAATCACGCATGCGGGATTTATTGAAAGTCCTGAAATTAATAAAATGTTGCCTACGTATGAATATTTCAAGACCAATCGTAAAGGACATTGCTCTGCGCCCATACATTGTTCGCCCTGGAACCAAGAGCATCGGAAAATTATGTATTTTATTGTTGATCATTAGTAAATTCCTAGTTGATCTTATTTTTATAGCGGACTAGCTGCATAATAGATATATTTCAAAAAAAGTATCAGATTTTGAGGTTATAATCGAACCATGAATATTACGGTTTTTCATAGATCCGAGTGATTTTTAACAAACTGAAAAACGATGTCCTAAAACATTTAGCTATTTTTAGTACCTATCTACATAATTAGGTATGCAATTTTTGTTCTAAAACCTAAGTGTATGTAAGTGCAACGTATAAATGCATAGAATGTAGTTAACAAACCTGCTTTCTGAGCATTGGTTTTGAAATGAGAGATAATGTTTGTGTATTAATGTAAAAATAAAAATATATGTATATAATGGCTGTTAGCATTTAGATGTTGTCATTAGCATATACGTTACGGTAAGATACTTAGTACCTAAATATATAAGGATTTAGGCTGTCAGTCACGCCGCTAGACATGCCGTCGAACAGCGAGCGTATTAACCACGGTTTCAACCAAGTTTCAACAGCGCGCGCATGAACAAGGTGAATATTATAGATTACTATCTAGTACATTTGCAAGCGTGTGCGTCTGGACGGGACTATGAAACCAGCCCTACCGATTTAGTACCTAATTGGTAGTATAAGTTGTTATTACATGTACATTAACTTATTATGTTTGAATTAGAAATAAAACACAGATTAATTTCATGTTTATTGTTCATTTTCTAAATTGGAAATAAGAGTATTGTCTAAAAACTGTGCAGGGATGTCGATATTATTTTGATGTCTCGTAAAGCTCAAGTACCAAATAATGGTCATAACATGGGCGCAGCAACCGATGGTTCTGCGTACAACGATGCAATTACAGCAATATTGCACGATTGCTTCTCTGTTCATCTTTAAACAATATTGTACCACCAGCAGAGCCGCTATTTACACAAAATACACTTTCCATTGCGTATGCGTTAAGTCCGTTTATGAATGCTAGGTTATCGTTTGAGTGGTACACAGTTCCAAAAATCACAGCAAGGTAAGTCGTTCTTGAACGCAATCAGAGTCCGTTAAAATAGCCAAGTCGTAATGTTAAATATATAGTCCCGAAAGTCACCACAACACCGATACAATTATGTACAAAGACAATTACAATTGCAAACGACGCCAACCAATGTAACTTTGACAGAATTAGAGATGACGGTACAAAGTAGGCATGTCCATTTTAAATAGTTTAATCGATTGTTTATAGTAACAGAATCGATTTTCCAGATCGATATAGATCTGTAGAATCCTTGTCCGATGTCGATACAGAAACCTCTCGAATCGGACTTATTCAAGAACTAACTATATTTCAAACGATTCAAGAAATACTTTTGCATAGTTGGAACATCTATTCCTTGTGACAGACAGAAAAACTGTTCTGTTCTGGGTTCGATCCCAGGGTCGGGCAAATTATTATTGGGTTTTTATAACTTGAAGTTCCCAGTAGTAGCACGTAGTTTGGATTTGTGTCCGGTGTTTGGCAATACGCGCATCCCCTATTACATGGGATGTACAACATAACAGTACTTACACCTACCTACTCCTTCTGGAAAATACTGGCGTAATGTTATGTTTTTTTTTATAGGATCGGGTGACAAACGAGCACACAGTCCACCTGATGGTAAGTGGTTACTGTGACCCATAGACATCTACATCTATCCTCAATAAAGACTCAAGATGCAGATGCGTTGTCACCCGTAAGGACTAAGATGGAATGCCTCTTTGCCAGTAAAAAGGGTCTCCGGTTCTCTACACTCACCATACGAAACACAGCAGCGTTAAGCTGCTATTTTACGCTGGTTTTCTGTGAGAGCGTGATCCTTCCCCGGTCGAGCCGACCCATTCGTGCTACAACCATAATATAGCTGCAGCATGGCTCTACCACGTAGAAAATGTTTATTAATTTAATGATTTTTCTATACAGTTACTTGTATTTATGGTAAGTTATCGTCAATAATGTTCTGTGTCTATATTAGGCATGTTTGAAAATGTCGCGATTGATCAAAAATAGATCTGTTAATGCTTGATTTAATCGAGAATCGATTCTAGTATGTTCGATTTGCATCGATTTGGAGATCGTATTTTTTTCATGAGAGACTGACAAGTGACTATTTAGTGACATCAAAAATAGGAGCGCCAAATACAATACGACTTATGAATATTTCCTTAGATTTATTATAGCCGTACGTTACAAACAGTATACCATCTATATAGTATATATCATCTTTTGTCATACGATAATATTAATACCATAACACTGTCCTACTTCTTCCATACTTGTAACAATATTATTAATAATATCTGTATCTAATCTGCAATATTGCTCTTTAAAAAAAACACATTTATAATTAATGCAGTAACGATAACAGTTTTTTTTTAATTCATTGTCGTAAACTCGTAAGTTATCGTTTAGTAAGACATAAAATATACTCCCGTCTAAACGATCATTAGACAATACTGAATAATTATCTTTACGAATACTTTTCTTCAGCAATATTCTAACTACCTATTCAAAATCGAGTATGACATTCAATAGGTACAGTAGGTTTTTAAAATTATACTTGTAGGGAATAATATAAAGAAATGGTAATAGAATATTTTTATTGTAGCTTCTTTTAGCAACTTTATTCGAAATAAATTAAAATGTAATTCAGATTAAAAATATACAACAGTTCATTAAAAATTCAATAATCGATTACAATCGATTGGGCATCCCTAATCATTTTTCGACACCACATGATGTTTGGCGAAGATGGCGGCGGTTAATGTTATTAGTCGAATATAATACTTTTTAATGTTCATTTTTGCATGCAGCTAGTCCGTGTTATAAAAATATTTGCAACTAATATAATAAAATAGAAAATTAATTATCGTGTATGTCCGATGCTTTTATTACACAGGGCGGTTTTGGACATTGTCCTTTGATATTTCATTCTTTCATACTTAAAGATTTTTTTTTTAATTTAATACAGTGAAAAAAATTACAAAGAAAATGTATATGAGAACTTGTTCGTCTGTTCTCGCTGTTCCCCGCTGGGGGACATAGGGGAAAAATTGCTATATCCGCCAATCTTCCCGTTGGACCCTACTTGTGGACACTGGGAAGAAATGAGTTACTTTGTCCCTCAGTGGTCGAAAAGTTCTGTTGTCCCCCACTATTGATTTGCGTGAAGTTCAAACACCCCGCTCCCTCTTAATTCCCCGGCCCACCCCCAACCTCATCTCCCGCTTACAATAACGTCATCTCTGCAAGTTCGTCTAGTTATGTTGTTGTATGTTACTTACTTATCTTCACGCACAATCCCTGACGGGGTAGCCAGAGAGAACAGATCGCCAAGTGTCACGATCCTTACAAACCTCTTTCGCTTCTTTCAGATTCATTATCTTCTTCATGCATGCACGTCTAGGTATCCGAGTACTTTTGACCCTACCCTCTTCGAGCAATTTGCTCACATGGTCTTCGAAAGTTAGTCTCGGTCTACCTCGACACCTTTTAATATTAACTTTCGCGCTATATATTTTCTTCACCATTCGGTCTTCACTCATTCGCTCAGCGTGCCCAAACCACCGAAGCACGCCCTTATCAATTTTTGTGATAAGGTCATCTTTCAAACCTGCCATATTGCGAATCTCTTCGTTTCGCTTTCGGTCGGCCATGGTAACGCCGCACATTTTACGAAGAGATCGCATCTCCACTGCATTCAACTTACTTTTATGCTTCTTCTGGCATACCCAGGTTTCGCTGCCATATAACAAAGTCGGTACCAACACTGCGTTATGTATTGCAAGGCGTGCACTCTTCGCTACGCCTTGCCTTTTGACTAACGCAGTCAGGGCACCATTGACTTTGTTCCCGGCAGCGACACGCCTGTCCACATCTAAATCACATCTTCCATCCCGGCTAAAAGTACTCCCCAAGTATACAATTTCATTTACCTGTTCTAGACATTCCTGATAGTTGTTGTATGTGTAAGGTAATATTATTGCTTTATCACTCACTCTCTTGCAGGACATCCATGAGTTCAAGTAATATTATTAATCTTGTAATTAATTTCAATTTAGTATATTTGTGAAATATTAGTAATCCCGCGGTCGCGTGATTCAATTAAATAAATTTGATTTAGAAGTTCATGTCCATATTACTCTTTAATGCTAAATAATGTAAACGTTAGGTAAATAAGCGTCCGATTATTCGACCACCATGTCTTACCAGCGGGGATAGCCACGATAACTACTTACTGTGTTATCAGATAATACAGTAAGTAGTTATCTTGGCTATGCCCGGTGTTAAGATATACAAGAAGTCGATAGATGCAGGTGTCTTAAAACTGTGTGTTGGTGCTTTCTTTGGGGGAGGCCTATGATGTTAAGCAGTGGACTTGTTGTGTAGGGTGACGGCTTGAGTTGTATGAGAAACAGGCAGCTACGCCGAACGCTGTTCACTAAAGCGTCCGGCGTAGCCACGGCGTAGCTGTGCGTTTGGCACACTTTTTGGACGACGCCTGTAATTATATTGGCTCTCTAAGCTCTTCAGACCAAACGCACAGTAACAGTAGTAGGTACACAGTAGTTCAAGCACCGCTATTTCGCGACAGGAATAAGTAAGAGAGTGGTACTTAACCCAGACCGATTCCTAGGCAGAAAAAGAGTCTTACTATTTATTTATTACAAATTATTTATTAAGCAAAAATTGTCTAATAAGGGTTATTTTATACTACTAAAAAGTACATGACTCATAATAAACCCTGGGAATGAGGTGTATCACTGTTTCTAAATGTTTTCATAATAATTGTATAAAATATTATATTGTAAATTGTGCTTTTTTTTTAAAAAAAAGTCCCGCTGGGTTTCTTGCTGGTTCTTCCCAGGACAGAGGTTTTTTTTGCGAACCAGTGGTATAAGTAAAAAATGACTTTCAATAAGTATTATGTACTATAATCTATATTGAATAAAAATGATTCTATTCTATTCTATTCTATTCTATTGTATTACGCTTTCGCTTTTATATAAAGGTAATCATAAATTTGCTCGCAGAATATGCGGCTTACGCGTCGCTTCTTTTGAAAACATTCAATGGCATCTTTAGCATAGTTAGTGTTAAGAAGTCACCACGAGCGACACTTTAAATTCTCAAAATCAGGTTTCGAGTGCTTTGTAGCATCTATGGTTATGTATATGTATGTTATAGTATGGGTGAATAAAAAAATATATCAGAAATTACTATCAGGTGATTTATATTATAAATAGGTGGGATTCAAGCGGCCAGTTCTGTATAATTTTCATGCAACGGATGTTCAGAGAAATTACTGTAGCATAGAGCAATAAAATATTAACCGTAGCGACCACGGCGAAGGTCACGAGACGCGCCGGCGCACACGTAATAGCTGCAACCTGTAAGCGAATTATCACTTCCAGTTGAGTTCGGCAACCGCGTGATCTTGTATATTTTTTGTGATTGTATATTTATTTATATAATATTATATAATAATATGTAAAATAAATAATATATTTATCCTAGTGTATATGCAGTTAAATATTAAATATCGTAGTATGATGGTGACGTAAAGTGATTTTTCTTTTCCTCTTTATCGGCCCGAAAATTTCCACTGCTATCACTGGCCGCTCCCGTTTGGGTTTGCCTTAATTTACACGCTTGGCAGGCGTATTGGCAATGGCAGTGCCAGACGTCTTGCGCCTTTAACACTACTGCCCGACACCAGTTCGGGTATTTTATTATAGATATATTTATCTAACTTTTCTCCAAGATATGGTTACACTATTTTAACTTAACACTTTAGATGCAGACGAGACGACAAACAAACCTAATGTGCTAATTACGAAGTTCCGATTTTATGTGCTAACAATACTGCACGACAAGGAAAACTCGCCCAAAAGTTAGCTAATATTTATAGTATAATACTTCTCCAAAGTCTGGTTGCACTATCTTTTTTTTATTTTAGAGCTAGATAAACCGAAAGAGTTAAAAAAATCTTTTTTATTAAATATACGAAAATGGAAAAAAACAGGCGAGTAGTGTAAAACTCGGTTGAAACGAACTTACTTTCGTAGTATATTATTATTGATAAACGTATTTTATTATTGATTTACAAATACAAATTAATTAATTACTAGCGTCTATTAAAATGAAGCGTCATTTAAAATAATATTTCTTTTATTGCAAAATAAGAAAAAAAAACATGCGTGAGTGTCGTGGAACACTCGGTTGGAACGAAGTTCCTTTCCTAGTATATTATTATTGATAAATGTTTTTTATTATTGATTAACAGATACAAATAAATGAATTACTGAAATGAAAGAATGAATAATAATTAAAATGAAGCGTCATTTAAAATAAAATAATATTTCTTTCATGGCAAGATAAGAAAAAGTGCGAGGGAGATGAATATTATTCCATCTCCCTTCCTTATAGCTGCCAAGGCCGTCTACACTACGTCAAAAGGGGTCGTGACGGAAAAATCTTACACTTTTTGACGCCTAGCCCCCATCCGCCAAATCCGTATCGTCCGATAAAGAACTTCGTTCCAAAAAGTGCGAGGGAGATGGATATTATTTCATTTCGCTTCCTTATAGCCGCTAAGGCTGTCTATACTACGTCAGAAGGGGCCGTGACGGAAAAATCTTACACTTTTTCTTGCCTAGCCCTCATCCGTCAAGTACGTACCGTGCGACAAGGAACTTCGTTCCAAAAACAACTATTGATTTACCTGGACGGCATATTACCAGACTAACGAGTTGTCATTTATTTCTCTTTCTTTCAAATAAGCTCAAATTTATTCAATTTACAAATAAATGGGTTTATATTTAGATTTGATGGGATTTTCTAATCGCATAACACTGGATACTAGAGTGGGCTGCATATAAGTATTAATTCTTACTCAACTTATAGTATCCCTTGCCGTGTAAGATAATTATATATAATAGATTCAAGCATTACTTTGCAGAAATCCATTTTAATAAAGATGTGTGAAAATTTTTATCGTAATTTTTACGTGGTAGAGCCATGCTACAGCTATATTGTGGTTGACCAGGGAAGGACCACGCTCTCACAAGATACCAGCGTAAAATATCAGCTTAATGTTGTGTATCGTATGGTGAGTGTAGACAATCGGAGACCCTTTTTAATGGAAACGAGGCATTACATCTTAGTCCTCACGGGTGACAACGCATCTGCATTTTGAATATTAACCGAGTATAGAAATGCCTATTGATCATAGTATCCACTTACCATCAGGTGGACTGTGTGTTCGTTGGTTTTTTTCTTATAGTATAAGGGTGATAAAAGAGCACACAGTCCACCTGATGGTAAGTGGTTACTGTGACCCATAGACATCTACATCTATCTACGGATTACCCTTATTGTATTACTAAAATAGCTAAGATCCACATGAAGGTTCAAACTTAGAACTTCAAAGTAACAAATTTTAGTAAATTAACTTTCATATCCACAATACCTTGTGTAACACATCGTGTTCATCTAGTGGTGGCGTGGTAAGACTGTAGTAAGTACAAAAACTCTTTAATGGGAAATGACATAGCTCTCATGGTCTTCGATAGATGGCGCTAAATTCATAATTTTAAAGCTACAATGGTGCGACAATGCTGGTGTACCTATAGATCGAGAAATCCATGACCAACAGTATATTGTTTGATTGAACCGATGATGAAGAAGAAAAGTATTTTCTGCGTTAAAAAATAATTACAAAATGTAACAGCAGAATGTGAAAACAGTTGAAATGGAAGCTATACACAAAATATACTACACTAGCGGCACAAAAACAATCTTATGTCTATATCATTCCTAACGTAAGTGCTGTGGTAAGACGCGATCGAGGAAAATGACATGACTGGACATGGACAGCATCATCTTAAGATAACGCTTTTCGATCGTGGCAATTATGGCAAATCCTCCCTAAGAATCAATCTATGGGAAGAATATGTTCGGCAGTGAACTTTTGTAGAACGGAAGGTACACATTATAATGTTAGGTTAATTTTGACAATAGATTTAAATGCAATCATGAAACAGTTCTTTCTGATCGGCTCGATACACTGGCACTGCGTAGAGATGTTGCATCTCTTTGCGTATTTTATCGCATCTATCACGGGGAGTGCTCTGAGGAATTGTTCGGACTAATTCCAGCCCGCTCAATTTCACCATCGCACATCGCGACAAAACTCGCGTTACCATCCTTCTTCTAATCGCACCACTGTGCGATTTAGAAGAAGTTTTCTCCCTCGCACAACTTCCTTGTGGAATCGATTACCACCAGCGATTTTTCCGGACCGATACGACTTAGGAACCTTCAAGAAAAGAGCTTACACCTTTCTAAAAGACCGGCAACGCATTTGCAATTCCCCTGGTGTTGCGGTTGTTCATGGGCGGCGGTAGTCACTTACCATCAGGTGAGCCGCATGCTCGCTTGCCCCCTATTCTATAAAAAAAAACATTTCAACGCTGATTATTCTAAGTCTACACAACAGTTTTATGTATTAAAAATTATTTAAATGGATCATTATAGCTCATCACAAGTCCACTCTTATTTGGGGGTATACGTAGGTTGTAACAAAGCACGGTCTGGAGCAATCTGCATCCACCGAGTAAGTTATTCGAGCCATTTTAGCTTACTGATCCGTTGGGCTATCTATGTGAAATACTCTTGGTTTTGTAAACACATAATATTAAATTAAAATGAAATACATAATATGTGATTTATTTTAAATTAATAATAGTATAATGCCAACAAAAGTCGATCTGAAAATATGTACTAAAAGTATAAAAAACATTCATAACAAATGGTTATAGTTTTCCACTTTTATTCTTCATTTTCGTAATACTCCGGTGACTCCTCGAGGATTTCCTCATGAAGAAATTCTTGATTCGATTCAACAGCTGTCTGTATTGGTTCAGGTTCCTTCGCATCAGATACTTCAGCGTTAGAATAATTTGAATCACTCTTTATTTTATTAGTATTATTTTCATCTGGGGTTCCGGATAGTGATGATGGAACGTCATTGAATAATGAAGACGTTTCTATAACTTCCTGACTTTTCATTATCAGCCGTTCAATCGGCGTCATATCTTGCTTTTCATTGTCATTTTCTTGATTCCTTGATTTGTTGTAGTATTTTTCTCTGAAAATAGCAACGTTGTTAATATCACCAAGAGTTGGAGAGTGTGATCTAGTATTAACAAAAAAATAACAAAAAGCAAATAAAATTTCACGTAAATGAGAAGTAAAAATAATAGAAAAAAAACATACCATAAATTTAAAAAATAATCGAAGTATTTGGTTATAGGCGCCATCTTGTTTTACAGCTTTATTTATTATAAAAACAAAATATTGAATGCGCATTCTAAAAATATTGTTTTGAAAGTTTTATTTTTCTTTGTGCTAAAAACAAACTCTCGTTATATAGTGATAATAATGAACATTTTATAGTACTCAACATATTAATAGCAATTAGTTGATTAGTGACTACGATGTTGATAGTTGAGTCAGTTGGGTGCTGTCCAAAATTCCAAATTGACAATTTAAACGGAGCAATAATGGATAATTGCAATTGTTGTATAAAATCTTTGAAACAAAAAAAAAGCAAGTCTCACGCATACACTGACAATTGACAACAAGGTTATTAAGATGTAAGAGAACCCATCAGACCACATAGAGATATGGATTATGAACCCAAAAATATTTCATGGTCTTCAATAGGTGTATGATGAATATGACCAGTAAGAGTCGTGGTAGCCCAGGAGCTAAGCGCTCGATGTAAATATCACAATGAAACTGTTATTACAATGTTGCTAATTTACCACGTGCTCGGTGGTGAAGGAAAACATCGTGAGGAAATCTGCATGTCTTAGAAATAAAACAAAAATATACTGAAGACATGTGAAGTCCGCCTACACCCAACACGCATTGGGGCATCGCGCGGGACATTTCCTTGCCCTAAAACCCTCTCAGATGTGAGAGGAGGCCTGTGCCCAGCAGTGGGACTTTATACAGGCTGAAACTTTACTTTACTTCAATAGCGGTATATCCATTAGGTATATATTAGATATAAAATGGTGCGATACGATGATAATATGTTAAGAAAATATCCGGATTGCAGGATATTTGAAGGTTTTTAACGATTATATTTCATATTAATAACATTAAAAATAAACCAAATTACAGATATTCATAAAAGTAGAAAAATTCTAAAATAGGCAATAGTTGTTCAACAAATTAAAAAGCAAACCACGGAGGCATTAGTTTCTGTATTAATATAATACTCTAAATAATGATAAACTTTTATTAAAAACCAACACCTCAATTAAATGACATTGCGTAGCAAAAAAACTTTACCTCAGTGTCAACTAGCGACATCTGGTGTGAGCAGAAAACTATTAGCCCTCATTATACCTCAGAAAAATTGACGAAATCATCACCTGTTTCCTCCTCCAAAATTAAACCGGTAATATTTTTTTCAAGAACATATAAAAGGATTATGGCGATCTTTCTATATTTTCTTTTATCTTTTTAAATTGTTAATTTTGTTTGCTTAATGTCAAATAACAGCGTCAAAACTGGATAGTTTTATTAATTTTAGAGGGTTCGTAGTTTTGAAAATAATCTTTATGGAAAAAAATCAAAACATAGGAACTAGAAACACGACATTAGTAGATATAGATTGTACCCTTCGAGGATATTTGCACTAGTTTTTTTTATACAAGGAGAAAACAGAGGAATACGTTTGTTTGGAATAAACGTTGTCAAAATATCCTTTTAATATGTTCTCTAATTAACGCCTATGGTTGGTTATCTATAGGAGGGGTTCAACTCCAGCAGGATTGCAAAATTACGGTTGAAAATAAAAAAGAAAATTTTATGAGTTGGAACTATTTGTCGTAGCTGACTTACGATAACCATAGGAGTTGAACTGAAGAATTCACCTACCTCCTTTCTATACATAAGAGATATCGAATTAATTATAGTATTAATAGTTAATATTTTGAAGAAATGAAGTAACAAGTGTCATGCCCATTATAAATATGAACTGTTTATTACGGAATACTACGCAAGCGGTGCCAATAAAAAAAAAACTGTATTGTATTACACAACTCGGTCGATAGAGGAGCATCGTGCATATAACGCTTGGCACTGGAAAGCGGCCAAGACAAGAGTCAAGTGACTGGCCTCGTCTGTGTCCAGTACCGGCTAAATTTGTATGGGTGTAAATAAAAACATTTGAAAACCTCACGGCCCCTTCTAGATATACCATTTCATATAATAATATCTTCAGATTTCAGTCACGGCGACCTGTCTCAACAGAGACCATCCATCTGCGCTGAACTGAATAATAATGCACGAGTATAAGTGCAAACACTCTCTGTTCCCTCACTTTCATAGCGCGATTAGACGGAAATCCGATATGACCGGCGAGAGGTAAGGCGCTGAACCAACGGCTTCACAAGCTTCCGTGTCTCGGGTGAAACACCGCCAACTTTTGCTGTAACTAATAATTTATTAACAGAAAAATTTAATAATTGATTTTGATCTGACCCAGGATTCGAAACGATCCAGCAGCTGTCAACCTTTTCATATATACCAGACGTTCAATACCAGGACCTACGACGACAAGCAACGTCAAAGGTGCGATACATCTTGTACGGCGATCGACAAAACACCTGCCAAGCGTGGCGTTTAAGGAAATTCCTCCACATCATATGAATGTTGTAGGTCGATATGAGATGACCAAACAAATCGGTCACACCCATCAACAGATATATTTTTATTACTCGTAGATGTCTAAAGGCCACAGCAATCCCTTACCATCAGGTGGACTGTGTGTTCGTTTGTCACCCTAATCATATATAAAAAAATCATGCATGTTACTATCAATTGTCCCTTTAACAGCTAGTAACAGTTGAGGGTACTTTCATGTTTGTTAGAAAACACTCTTCACGCACATGAGTTATAATGTACTACGTTATAATGTACTACGTACGTAGTAGTACATTATGACTCAATGTTCACGCGACGGTCCATTCAGGGACGAAGGAGGCGTCGGGGGAAGGGTGAGTAAGAAAATCCTGCAACTCTTGATGGTACAACCGTTTTATATAAGACTAGCGATCCGGCCCGGCTTCGCACGGGTGATTTCTGGATCTTGTATGTCTAATAGTTTTAGCTAGACTAACGGACAGCAATGTTATATGTAAAGATTGAAGTGATAAGCGAACTAACGGTCCAGCTGATGTTAATTGACTACTGCATATACTGCCCGTGGACACCTGCGACCAACTTTAAACTAAAAAAAACGTATCTGTACGTTGTCATCACTGGGAACCAAGGTGAAATACCTCTCAGGATGAATTATACTGACTCTCTTTACCCTTCAGACCTGGACAGCAGTGCAAGCACTAGGTACTATCTGGTAGGAGAAATAATCCTGTTACCAGTTTGGACATTTGACATAGATAGAGAGCATAGAAGTCATGTTGTGTCCTTTCTGACAGTTCTCATATTCATCTTTTATGAACACCCAGGGGCGGAAACTGAATGACAGATTTGTCTTACGCCGCACCGCCATTTTTTTTTTGCGATAATTTATAGCATAGGGTGACAACGAGCACACAGTCCACCTGACGGTAAGTGGTTGCTGTGACCCATAGACATCTACATCTTTCCTCAATAAAGAATCAAAATGCAAATGCGTTGTCACCCGTGAGGACTAAGATGGAATGCCTGTTTTCCAGTAAAAAAGATCTCGAGTTCTCTACACTCACCATACGAAACACAACAGTGTTAAGCTGCTATTTTACACTGGTATTCTATGAGAGCGTGGTCCTTCCCCGGTCGAGCCGACCCATTCATGCTACAACTATACCACCAATATAGCCACAGCATGGCTCTACCATGTATAGAAACGTATTTTAAAAATAATATGTTCAAAAATAACAACGTATAGTGATAATTGTTTTACTTTTACAGTGTTACTAGTGTATGCTGTAATTCTATCTTTTTCAGACTCTGGGAGATAAGACTATTTGTGTCTGCGTATGTGCGGGCGCACCGCGGGAATGCGCTATTTGCGGACGTGGGTTCGATCTCGGCCGTCAACCTCCGACTGCACGCCCGTGTCTGCATGCGAGAGTGCATTACTCTCTACGAAGGCTAGAAGGAATAGATGATTTTTGTTATTCAAAAACAATCGGGTGTAAGGCGGATAATTAGAACTTTATCTACGAGGCGCTCTGCTAATGGACGAAACTGCGACGACCTTAACTCGTTTTTAGGTAATATTTATGCTGTTACACAGGATCTTTATATACTTTCACATAACTGACCGAATGAAGAGTTTAGACTTTATATATATATATATATATATATATATATATATATATATATATTAAGGTGACAATCGAGCATAAATTACACCTGATGATTAGTAGAAGCAGTGACACATAGACACTTACATCAGATCCATTCTCAATTAAGAGTCAAAATGTAGACTGAGGTGTAGGTAATAAGAGTACCTTCGATTATCTACACTTACCATATAAAACTTCTTATACAGCATTAAGCTGCTATTTCACGTTGGTATTCTGTGAGAGCGTGCATCTCCCCGGTCGAGCCGACCCATTCGTGTTCTAACCATAATATAGCTACGGCGTATTTGTACTATGTTAAAAAAATCTTTTGGAATATTCGGTACATTTCTTAAACCCCGCAGACTGTTTAATGGGACCTTAAGACCTTGCCATGAATGCTTTATACGTGATAGATCTTATACGGCAGAGTATCATGGCTGCAACACGATGGGTCGGCTCGGTCGAAGACGGACCGCGCTGCTGTGTTTCGTGCCAAGTGTACAGAACTCGAGACCCTTTTTTTTTGTAGTAACGCGATTGAATACTAAGATGGAAATCTTAGTGTTCAACAGTGACAACGCATCAGAATTTTAATACTTAATCGAGTATAAATGTAGGTGTCTATGGACCATAAGAAACACTTACCATCAGGTTAATGGTATGCTCTTGAGACACCCTTTCTTCTATAAAAAGACAATAACTTCCAAATATTGTACAAGAGATATAGGGTCAAAAGTGCCTGATGTGATGTATATACCTCTAAACAGGGGTAGATAGA